GCTGAACCGAAAATCTATCATTCACACAAGCCTAGTCAATAGCAGTAGGATTTGTGTCCTCTGCTTGAGTCATCCACAAGATGACATACCCACCAACACATTAGTATGTGCATGTAGATGGAGATAGCCCATCCCCTCTGGCCATAGGAGACAGGACTAGGAACAATAGCCTTAAACTGCAGCAGAGGATATTTAGTTTGGAAATTAGGAAAAACTTTCTGACTATGAGGTGGCCAGGCATTACCCCTGGAATCTCTACCCCTGGACATTTTCAAGAGCAGGTTATACATAGACTTGGCTGGGACGGTTTAGTTAGGGATGATCCTGAGCTGGACTAAATGATCTTATGAAGTCCCTTCCAGCCCTCCTTTCCTATGACCCCTATGTACATGACATACCAGGTAGCACATAAGCACTAAGCTAATTCATTGTGTAATACACACACTCAGGCCAAGCTATGAATCATACTTGTATTCGCCTTGACGTGTGTGTCCAAAGACTTCTGCCTCTCTCACACACCCATCACATCTTGCTTTTCTTGTTTCCATGACTCATCTGCTCCACACGAAGCCCCTCTCTGTAACCTGTAGCCATTAACTTGGAAGTGGCTTGTTTCTCAAAGTCATGCATTTGCTCCATCTACATACCAGGCTGATGCTACTGCACGCTGCTTGGAGTCTGTTGATTTCTTCATGCAGGGCTTTGTTTGCCTGAAACAAGTCTGTTGCTCTCTGATTGGCCTCACTGGTCTGACTGAAAGCCAGCTGCTGAGCCTAGGAACCAAAAGATAGCACAGAGACTCTAAAGGAGGTATGTTGTCTCAATACAAATATATGAATTTTGAGGGTAATGGAGTCCCCTCCTGGAAAGAAGCTGGCAAAGGGTCTGGGCAGCCAAGTATGAGAGTGGGCAACTCCTTGTTCAGCTTCCACGGACCAAGATCCTCACCAACCAGATCCAGGTTCTGGAGATGGAGTGCACTCAGCTGCTAGGGGAACAGCAGGATGCTAGAGGCCAAGGGAAGGACATGCAGGCTCTTCAGGAGACCTGCAAAGAGCTCAGGTACCTGAGTGAGGAAGGAAGGAGACTGAGGTTGGGGGAAAAGCGTGCATCCTACAGCTGAAAACCTCATGATGCACAAGCACTATTGGCCAGAGGTTGGCCAAAGGGACTAGTAACAAAATCTGAATTATGGGGTAGTTACTCTTAGAGGATCACCCATCACCCAGGAAGTGGGGCCTAAGAGCTATGTGTGAGGATGACATAGAAGTGAATGAATAGGACTGGATGCATGTGACAGCATGGCCTGGGGCATCCTGGTTTTGTGTGCCTGAGCAAGTACTTCTATTGCTCTTCAGTGATTCCTTGCTCCTATTTAAAGGGGATCACCTGGAATTCAAGCAGCCTGCATTTTGGGAGCTGAAGTGGGTGATTCCCAGCCCAGACTTCCCACATATGAGGTTCAGGATAACCAGGTCTGTTATCTCCAACCCATGGATTTATTGCAGGTGGATCCTAAATAGGCAAGTCCTTTCCAAAAGTGGGGGAGCATGTAGGACAAGACCAAGGGACTTACTTCTTTGGTGGAGCTCAGCTGAAGGGCCATTTCCTCTCGCTCTCCCTCCAAGTCCTTCAGTCGGTCCTGAAAGCTACTCAGGGTTTCTTGAAGAGCTGTCATTTCTTGGCTCTGCTCCTTCCTTCCCTATGGATCAACACAGAAGGTACCCCAACCAGCTGTGATGTGCCACCCAAGTCATTGATGGCCCAACAGCACACGTAGGAATGGGCAAACACCAACCAGCTGGCTCTGCAAATACTTATCTCAGTGAAAGCCCCCAGTTTGGCTTTCTGACTTATTCAGAATGACTTACTGAGTTTAATTCTCATTCAACCAATTTGATCTCTTACATACACAAACCAGAAAATCTCACCTATTCCTTCACTCAGCTCATTCTGCTTGTTCTTGATTCACTATTGACAAGCATTTGCACGACTGCCGGGGATTAGTGAAACAGTGATAACATCTGATCATTTCACAAATATTAACACCAGCAATCTGCCATGGGAGCACACTATTAGTATTCATCATTCTCCCATTGGAAAAAAAAAATCTAGCAACCAATTCAAGTGGAGGAATCCACACCATGTGATTCAGGTGACCAATGATACCTTGTAGACTTGTTCTCAGAGTGAACAGACTGAGACAGAAGCCCACCACCAGGTTGGAAATTATTAGGCAAATCTTTATTCCCGGGAATGAGGACCAGATTGGAAAGATGGGCAATACTTGGGATTTTAGATCGAGTCTCAGGATATACTGGGTGCTTTTCTAAAAGCCCCAACTGCAGGATTCATGTGATTTCAGCAGAATCCCAGGTTTTATCTAAAAAAAAAATCCAGCACTCATAGCAGCAAAGAAAAGCTGCACAATGGGACCCACATGGGATCAAAAGGCTGGGAAACTAAATGGGAAACGAAAAGAACTCAGAAATTACTTTTTCTCTTTAAAAATATCTCCTGATTTATAATGTAAGGGTTGGCAATAGTTTGATCAGCTAGCCACAAGAAAGCCAAGTCCCTAACAAATGCTGCTTGTAATAGGACCAGCTTCAACCACATGCCAAAGTGAGAGAGTGTGTGTGCGCGTGCGCGCACACACCTGCCTGCTGCCTGAAGTATATCTATTGTGTTCTCACATTACAGGCCAGCTTGTGCCAATTACCCACTGCCCCACATTAAGGGTGACATGGTTCTCTGGGTAAATGTGATATTTTTATTAGACCAACTATATAGTTGGAAAATTTGTTCTTTGTAAGCTTTCAGTACAAACACCCTTCTTCAGGTGACAGTGAGCTATAGTTCCCCAGAGAACATGGAGCTATGAAGGAGAAGGAACAATGGCCCAGTGAAGTGTCCATGATATACCCTCCCTGCAGCTGGCCACTCAGTGTGGCAGGATGGGCCGGGCCAGGACACCATGCCTCCTCCACCCCCTTCACAGTGGCACATCGACTCTTCTAGCACTGGAGACTGGGATGCAGCAAGTGGCTCTTTACTTAAAATTAGATGTCAGATTTCTCCTGAGATAAAGCTTTTTATCCTGGGATCCTTCAGGTCTGATTGTCCTGGGCTTTGAACTATCAAGGGGGGGGGGGGGGGGGTGGACAAAAGTCCTTTACACACACAGCTTGAATGGCAATTAACTGGAATTTCCGATTCTCCTGGGAAAAGCATTATCATGGTGCTTCATGCTTCACAGGTACTTAAAGTGGGACAATGGGCTTGAATGTCTGTAGGGTTTCAGAATAAAAGGCTTTATCTTGGAAAAATCCTACATCTGTTTTTAGCCAGAGTACCAGCCCATTGTCCCACTTTAAGCACCTGTGAAGCACCCAGAAAACACGTTTTTTTCCAGGACAATCAAGGGCTAATTTGAGTTAACTGCCATTCAAGCTCTCTGAGTAGACAAGCCCTGCCACCTCCACCCCAACCCTCCCACCTGTTTAGATGTGAGTCAAAGCCCCAGACAATCAGATCCTGGATAAAACCAATGCCTGTTTTTAGCCTTTTTGTCCCCACACCACATACCCATGCAAGACCAAGGACCCAAGCTGTCCTTAAGATCTCAGACTGGACCACAGAGCTCTTTGGGATCTTCATGGTCACTGGTCTTTTTCCCCCCTCTCCTAGCCCTGCGCTATATTTAGCTCCTGAGTGTTCCTTAATGATATCTGACCTTGTTATAGTTTGCTGCCTCAGGATGGCAAGTGTCAAAGCATCCTGAGCCTGTTAACAGTTTTGTAGCAGAGTCTGAGACCAATCACCAAGTGCATAGGCTGACTGCTCTACAGGCTTCTCTGTGTGGCATGGGAACTGTGTTGCATGGGAAATAGACCCCAAATATTAGCCCTTTAAAGCAGCCCAAGTGCCTAGAGATACTGCATTCCCCCCTGTGCAGCTCCAGCCTGGGACCAGTTCTACACTGGATACTGCATACAGCCCCAAGTGCTGTCCCTTCCTGGAGTCTTCATTTCTCTAATGAATGTGGTGCTAAGCCCTGTGGCCCCATGCCAGTGCTAGTGTCTTCACTGCATGTGATTTAATTTGCCGCTCCCCAGATCCTGCTATGTTCAGTGCCTTTGCTGGCCTTTTTAGGCATAGTTCAGGCACCATGCCCAGGCCTTCCTTACCGCAGAGCGGGGAGTTGGTGAGACCGAGCAGCACCTCATTCTGCCCAAGCAGGTTTTAGCCTTTGCCATCTCCATCTCCAAATGAAGGATCCTAGAAAACATGTAAACATTGGCACACACATGTGCAAACACAAACAGACTGTGCTATTCCATTGCTCCTGCCCCAATTCTCCCTGTGCCATTTTAAATGTTCCATCCCCACCCATTCCCCTATCAGGGCACTTCTTACAGCTGACTCAACAGCTCTCATGCTCCATCTGGACCCTTGTTCTTCTATGCCAGTGGTTCTCAACCTTTTTTGTACTGGGACCCATTTGCCAAGATCGATGGTTTGTCCCAACCTACCCCATGCCTGGCCCTGCCAACGCCGGACCCACAGTCCCCTGCCCCACCAGGCCATGCCTGGGGCCCCTCACTCCCAACCCACAGCCCCCTGCCACCCTCCCCCCCAGCTCCCTCCAGCAGTGACTGTGGTGGCTCTGGCTCATGTAGGCAGTAGTGACATGGGCTGGAAGGAGAAGGAAGGGAGGCCTGTGGCACACCTGCCCTGGGCTGCGGCTTCTGCACTGCACCAGACAGCCTGGTCATGGTCCCTCCTGCCCCCAAGCAGGGTCTCCCAGCTGCCCTGCCCCCAAGAGCACGGGCACTAGCCCTGGTGTTGTCAGTCTGATCACACAGCTCCCCCCCTGCCCTTTCCCCCACTTGTGACCTTTTGAAGTATTCTTGCAACCCACTTTTGGGTTGCAACCCATGGGTTGAGAAATGCTGTTCTGTGCATCCCTTCCCTGTGCCCTTTCTAAAAAGACCCCAAACTACCATCTTGCCCAGAGCCCCATGTTCACTCGCAGCCCCTGTCACCCACTGGGTGCGTTTACATGTGCACCCCACTGCACAGTTGGTACTGCGCAGTCCCAGCGGCACACGGGTCATTTCTGACCCTACAGTCCAGTAGCAATGAACTATTGTGCAGTAGCTCATTGCTACTGCAGTCGTGGTGGCATCGTGGTTCATGCCCACTGATGCTACTCACTGTAGCAACGAGCTATGTCACCACAGCTTGTTTTTATGGCAATGTAGCATCTCGTGTAGATGCCCCCATTAACTTCCACCTCTACTCCAGCCCCTTCCCCTAATGCACCCAAAGGAATAAGCACAGGGTTAATGCGGTGAATTCAAGGCTTGTGAGAAGTGCCCAACTGCCAGACTCACAGGTGGCATTACTGATGAAGGTACCTGTCCCCTTGGAAATCGATGGAGACCATCTCTATAGCAATGACTCTTAGTCACTCTTTACTGACCTAGGCTGGATTGGATCTCTATGCCTTGTGGGTCTCTGTCTCTGAGCTGCTGGTCTCAAGCATCAGGAGACACAAGCATTACCCCAACCAGCAATTCAGATGTCAGACTGCCCCCAGTAAACAGTTACTACCTTTTATTTATCATACGAGCCTGAGTGCCACCATCCCGTGTGGCCACCAAAGCTCTCCCCATGATCTAAGTGGTGCTTTTCCATCACTGCTGCCCCACTAATGCTGCCAGGAACTAAAAAGGATAGTATAGTGCTTGCTACAAGACCTAGAGAAGTAGGTGGTAGGTAGGTGCCAAAGGGAGGGAGGGAGGTACCAAACTCCCACTGAATGTAGGTGCCCAACTCTCTTAGGCTCCTTTGAAAAACCCACTCTGGCTCCCCACCTTTCATCAAGTTGCAGCAGTTTCCCAGGTTAAATAGGAAGCTCCTTGTGTTGCTATCTGAACCAATCCTCCCTGGAAATACCGCCTCTCTCTCTTGTCCCAGCTGCCTGAATCCTACATGTCCTTGGCCTAGAATCACTAACCCAAGCCTTTTTACCACCCAGCCCAGTCCACTCACTTTTCACGCAGGTCCCCGCTCTGCCTCTCGTCTTCGTAGCGAGACAGCTCCAGCCAGTTCTTTTCTTTCTCTAGCTGAGCCAGGGACCTCTCCATCTGCTATGGAAGAGACCAGGTCAGAGAAGAATTCAAAGCTCAACAGAGTTTGCTCCCCCAGAAACAGGGTTTTATACTAACCCTAGCAGAGCACAAGGCCAGGGGAGGCTCAACCTCTGTTCTCTATGATACAGACTGGATAGAAACGAGGAGCTGCTCCACTAAGTCCTAATGCCTTAGAGGAGTTGCTACAGTTTGCAACTCACTAAAGAGATGGCCTGGTCCAGAGCTTAGTAGAGTCACTGAGGTCGTGGTTAGACTACACAACCTCCTTCCCAAGCCTGGAGCTGTCATGGGGAAACAAGCCCTGCCCAGCACATCTAAAATTGGCAAATAGCAAACCCTTAGGCATGCCCCACAGCACTCCACTCGGTCATTTATGGAGCAAATGGACAGATCTTGTGTCTTGGTGGCTCTATGCCACCTCCCAGGCACATCAGATGTGTCCTAAGCAGAGCCGTCCCTAGGGGTGTGTGGGGCTTGGGGCATATCAGCCTGTGCGGGGCCCGGGGGGGTGGGGAAGGTGGCAAGTGGCTGGAGCTGGCAGCGTTTGGCAGTGGTGGCAGAGCCAGCGGCTCTCAGCAGCAGCGGTGAGTGCCAGCCACAGCAGGCCCTATACGGCACTGACTGCGGGGGCCCCCAAAGTGCAGAGCCCAAGGTGGTCACCCTGATTTGCCATCCCCTAGGGATGGCCCTGGTCCTGAGAGTCCTTCCATGGGTTTGGCATAGAGAGGGTGAGCAGTACCATCATGCCCTACTGTACAGGAGACATCCTCATGCCCAAAAATGCCCAAGTCCAACCAAAGGGGACAGATAAGTGGCCAAACCAGGCCTTCTCTCAGGCATAATGTGCTATGTCTCTATACCTCAGAGCTGGTTGAGGTCCAAGGCACATGTAGCCCTGACTGAAATCAAGCAGGTGGACATCTGGAAAGACTGGGACCTATAACTACTCCTGTGTCCAGACCAGGCAGGTTCTTACACAGTTCTCTAGACTGTGGAGAGACTCATTTACCTTCTTTTTAAGAGAAAGCAGCTCATACTTCACACTGCTGAGTGCCAGCTTCTTATCCCACTTCTCCAATTTTTCCTCCTGCCACCGCAGACCCCTGGGAGCCTTCTGAAGACAGAGCTCTGGCTCAGCTCTCCTCTGTGCTGGTAAAGACAGATGCAAGTCCCGTTCTGATCCACTCCACACCCTTTGAGTGAATGGCTCCGAGGGGTTATATTCTTCTGTATCCCGATCTGGGAGACGAGACAGAGAATGCCTCCTTCTGACTGGTGGGCTTATAGGTTTCCTGGCATGTTCCACACCATTAGTTAAAAATCTGCCAAGGAAAAGAGAGACCACCTTTATGTTTTAGAGACTGACTAGAAAGCCTGGGAAGTCAGAGCCTTGTGAAGAGCTCACAGAAGACTTCAAGAATGACAATGACTTTCCCTAATCCATCAATCAGAATTTACCCTCTGGCATAGTGAATTCTGGACACATTTAGGAACAGTCATCTTGCCTACTCCATTTTTTCCTAGGAGAATCTGGACATTGGACAATTGGAGAACAAGGAAGGTATTGCCCTCATGGAACCTGAATGATCGAGAAGGGAGGGTTTTTTATTCAGACCTCCCAATTCTATGAATGTTTTGTTAGTTTTCAGGCAAGGTTAATTAAGTAGATGTGATATCTTTTATTAGACCAACTGAGTAGTTGGAAACAAGTTCTTAGCAAGCTTTCAGGTGCAGTCACCCTTCTTCATGCATAGGAACTCTTTACTGTCCTTACAGTCTCAGAACAGCAGAGACTTTCTATGCCTGGAGAAGAGTGACTGCACCCAAAAGCTTGCTAAGAACTTTTTTCCAACTACTCAGTTGGTCTAATAAAAGATATCACATCTACCCAAAGAACCTTGCCTGCTAGTGTCTATGTCCTTAGACCAACACAGCTACAACTAAAAACTCAGCAACCTGTTAGTTTTCATTAACTCTTACTTTACTCATATTTTCTAGAAGCAGTTGGAAGGAAATGTCTCCTCGTACATTCAAAATCCTTCAATCCATTCCACGGAAAGGTTCAGAAAGCTCACAGTTCACATCTGATACCTCCAGGGAGTCCTCAGGCAAATGCAGAGAAGACTAGGTTTATGTTCCCAAAGGTGCCCCAGAATCTACTGGACTACAACTTCCACTGTATCCCATCATAGGATCTGAAAGGGTCTGAGCAGAAACACCATCTTCTCTATTCATACGAGATGGCAGAACCAGAATGGGCATGCAGGCCATAGTCAAAACCTGGTCCTGAGATGAGCACAGTACCTTTAACTCCTGGTAAAACTAATGGAGATTGCAGATGTGTAGCATGTCTCAGCACTAGGGTAAACAAAACCAGCCTCTCCAAAATAACAGTCATGCTTCATTGCTAGTGCAATATAAAAAAATATGATATGTGTTATCTTTGCCTATTAATTCACAGCCCTGCTTGTGTGTTTAAGAATATTGGAAAAGTCTATCTTGGACAGACATCTAGTTGAGATCCCTGCAGTGAAGTCTGGCCACTGCTGGATGCTTCTGAGGAAGAAGAAGACCTCTCTGAGTACAGTACCTATCAACACAATGTTATACCCTGCCAGGGATTTTTTTCCTGGCTACAACTGGTGATCAGCTGCTGCCCCAAAGCTGGAGGATGAATAGCCCTGACTGTCTTATCTTACAAATAGGACTGCTGGTGGTGCTTGTGCAGTTGCAAGCATCTGAACCTTTTGGAAACGAAATAAACAGTTTGCTCCAACACTGCACTGCATCAGAGAGCTCCAGTGGTTACTCACTGCTCAAAAAAAGGAGCTGTACAGGGCGTTCACTGATCTTCCTTCCTTTCTAAAACCTATTGCAACATATACATTGTATTTCCATAGGAGAGGTTCCTTCCAAACCATCTCAACCAGGAAGTCCTTCACCTGCAAAGTCAGGGATATGTCCAGCTGATTTCCCCCTGGCCCCAGGTCATTGTCCCAAGCATTCTGGAAGATGAACTTACATCCCACTATTGATAGAGTGGATCCCTCGCAGGGGGCTCGTGGACCTGGCTCGTTCAACAAGCTGGGAGCTGAGAAAGCCCCTGCTGTCCACTTTCCAGGGGTTGTGTGAGGGATTGGGCTCCAGAGATCCTTGTGTCCCAGGAAGAGAGTTCTGAATGAGATAAGGAAGAGACCACTGATGTGAAGGACAGATGTGATTTATTTTTGTCCCCAGCCCCTACTTTCACATATACTCTTCCTCTTCCCTTCACTCCTCCCATCAACACTGGAATCGTCCCCTGTTAATGTCCTCACAGGCATGATTGTCTGACCAAATACAAGAATCATAGGAAGAGTGATGACTACCCCACAAACAATCCTGGCTGTTCAGTGCTTGAACAAAGCATCCGTGTGGGGAGAGGGCCACTTAGGTGTGTCAGAGGTGATACCTAGTGCCTCTATGCCACGTGGGAGGTCAGGAGGGTGCGGGTGTATTGCTCCACTTCTTAGACCAGCCAATGGGACATAAAGGGCCACAGTGTGATAAGCAGAAGGCTAGGAGTGGAGAATGACCCCACCAGAAAATATTATGAAGCCCCAGAGTGAATTGCCTGGCTTTGGCACCCCCAGCAGAGAGGTCGGCCTAGTCCCATTACCTCTGCTTGGAATGGGGCCCTGCCCAAGAGTGGGCAGCTGTTAATGTAGCTTCTTTCCAGTTCCAACATGGAGGAGGGTGGAGATGCTCGTGGACCTCTCCTGTGTCTCTCAAGGCTCTTGCCAGTCCAGCCCAAGGACCCCAAGTCAGTGCTGAACTGGAAGCATCCATCACTGCTGTACTGGGCTGGCAAGCTAGTAAAGCCGCTCCACTTCTGGTGGGACATTTATGGCCTTGTGGTGCAATGGAACAGGGAACAACCTCCCCAAATGATCATCAGGGCAGCAGTGTCTCAGAAACGTCTTCTCTTGTCATGGGACCTGGTGCTGCTTCCCTGGAGCTTCCAAGGGAAGTGTCACAGATCTAGCTCCATGGCACTGGGAGGAGATGGTATCCAGCTGTGGTATGAAGTATCAAGGGCCTGTCAACCAAGGGCAACAAAAAAGGTCAGTGCGCACCCACAATGGGAATTCCTACTCGGTATCTTACCCATGGCCCCTTTTCTCAATCACTTGCTACCAGGCTACCCCAGAACCCTCCATTCCACTTCCCACAGTGCTGTGGCAAGCAACACAATAAGCTGAGGCAGCTCCTAGCATCTGAGGAGGACCCAGCTGTGCCCAGCTGAGCAGATCTGCTTGGTTAGATGACTGGAGAGAAAGAATGGGAGGGAGTTTGCAATCTCCCTCTCTTACATGAATGTGTGGCCCTCACTGATGGTTTTGACCCATTGGGAACCCCTGCCTTTGTCTTTTCAGAGACCACAGTGATGAGCTTGGTATAAATGCCCATGCAGACAAACACAGACATTTCTCCTTTCCACCTTCTTTGGCTGCCATCTCTCCTTACTGTGGTGACTGCCTTAATGAGATCAAAACTAGGAACACTTATGTCCTACCGCAGTGACAAGGTTGAAGGCTGCTCTTCCCTGCTATGGGGATGGCAGGAGCATAAAGAGCTGCAGCAGCTAAGTCCCTAGCTGGTCGAGCCTGCTGTGAACAGAACTGTGGGCATGAAACATTACTGCCATTGTTGCTTGAGACTCTTATCGTGGACTTGGAGATGCTAAGCAGTCGGTAAAGGAGTCTATGTGAATTTCTCAGCAACACCTGATCCTCAAATGGGAAGAATTCAAAGGACGAACCTTTCCTCCCCCCCAAAACACCGTTTGATCCATGCTGTTCTCCCCCATCTCTGTTCCAAAAGGCTTGTGTTTGCCATCACAGGGCATTCAATAGGAAGTGCCACAATTGCCTAGTGAGCGCGAAGTGGGAAAGTCCCAAGCTGTGTCCACCTGCTCCAGGCTCTGGATAGGAGCAACCCTGGGGCTGGTGAGAGGAGCAGAGCTTAAATCCACCTACCTGTCAGTGAGTGCCCCCCCACAGCTCCTCAGAAATCCCTAGAGATCAGCTCTCCTGGGAGTCTAGTCCTTATGCTGAGCTGCTGCATGCACTACGTCTGCCCAAGCCAGGGAACACAGGACTGCTGCTGCCACAGCAACCGAGCAGGCAACAAGCCTCAAAGTGCCCATTTCCCCTCTCCTGATAGACTGACAGAGATTGTGAAATGCAGGTGGCTGCCAGTGGAAGAGGGGTGGAAGGGGCAGGATGGGGAACCAGCCTTTGGGGAGTTACTCACTGGGATCAAGGCAAGCTTGTGCTTGCCTTGTCCCCTTCAAAGAAGCTGCACACACCTGGGTCCTCTCGTCTGCCCCTTACATTTCTCCAGTAACAAAAGTAAAACTGCAGCAAGCAGGGAAACACCCAGCCTGCCCCTTCCACTAACTGGGTACTAGTGGGGTCGTTGTGACCCACTGAGTTTCTACACAGGGGAGGCTGGCATCCACCAAGCCCAGTGGATCTGTGTTTTGCAGAGTCTCTGTCAATGATAGAAAGGCATAGTATTGGCATAGGGTATGCATCTAGCCAGACCTACCAGCCAAGCCCACCCCATTGCTGAACTCAGCCCTCTCAGCACAACCCCAAAACCCATTTTTCTGCTTCCCACAGTAATTATGTTCTTCAAACAAACAAATCCATATTCCTTCAACTTCATGCTTTTAAGGTGCTGGGAGGGATACAGGAACAGACAGAGCTGGCAGCCACAAACAGCCCACAATCTAATCAGACAAGACACAAAAGGTGGAAGTGGAAAAAAAATACAGAGGAATAAACTGACTTGCCTAAAATCCCATCACAGGACAGTGACAGGGCTGGGAGAGACAGCAACTTCCCATTTGAATATTAATTATCAAGAAAATAATATTTAAGCCACTTCAGTTTGCCCCTCAATGCTTTATTCCTTCTCGTCTTGAAATGCAACAAGTGGAAAATCTTGTGTATCACACAGCAGTTTTCTTGCCACAGGCTGGGGTTGTTTGCAGCTGCATGTTTCAGCGTCTTTCCCCTGCTGCTTTGTTTGGTATGTCACGCTACAGACATTAGCACTCCTTCGTTCCTCACCTTCAGAAACCTTCCAGTGTTTCCATCAAATCTCTCTCACATACCATACATGACTTGTTGGCTATTAATAGTTGGCATCCACTTATACCTTTGTGAGTGTTTTCATTGACACATTTGCACTCAAGGGGGAGGACTGTTGCGCTCAAGGGGGAGGACTGACTTCATTGGGAAGAATCCACCCCCTTCTCCTGAATGTCCAGCATCCATCCATCCCCTTCTCTGAATTGGCCATTTTTGGTAGGAGTTGCCAGACCCATGGATATAAGCCGCTAAACCTAAGTGTTAAAAAAAAAATCACAAATATTGTGAGATTTACACACACACACACACAATCTATCTATCTATCTATCTATCTATAAAGAAAAGTGAGAGAAGCTTCTTTCCTCTGCCTTACAGTTTTTGAGAACTCAAGGGTCATGTTTTCAGGGTTTTCTCTACAACCCAAAGTGCTAAAAACTTCCTTAAAAAAAAAGAGCAAGCTAATTTAATCTCATGACTCCAGGAGCTGGGGGCTTTAAGCAGATACCTAATGTTGCAAGACTGGTGGCTAGATCACAAGACTTGGCAACATCTGGTGAGTGCAGTTAGAGGAATGCAAGCCTGTGCTGCAGATAAGAGGCAGTGAGTCCTGTTCCTCTCCAGGGAGTATCTACAGCACCAAACACTCTCTGATAGAGAGTCCCCCTGCCACATGGCTGCAAGAAGCCACAGTGCAGGGGAATTTCAAAACAGGGGGAGTTTGTGGCCCATAAGCCACGGCACAGCAGACACCAGGGGAGAAAGTGTGTGTGGCAGGGGAGAAAGTGTGTGTGTGGGGGGAGCAGTTCAAAGTGGCCAGGGAGAGCAAAATCCCAACGATTACATACTATAGGAACCCAGTGCTGCAGGCAAGTTAGATCACCTACACTCGTCTACAACGGAGGCCAAAACTTAGACCCTGAATTGGCACACACACTCTTACATTAACAGCCAAGCCAAGAGTGAAGAGTCCCTTTCATGGGGGAAAGAAGCAAACTATCTTTAGCAAAACAACTCCCTGGAAGAAGTAACCTAGCACAGATGGTCATGGTTTGCTATTGCTGAACTTGCCTCTTTGGTGACTGTAGGAATGATTAAATGCAACGCAACAGGTCACCAGGGGCCAATGTTTTTGGCAGGCATGTTACAAATTAGCCCCAAACCTGAGTACCACCCCAGTCTCCTTCCTCTGCATCATGCTCTGCTTTCTGCTCTGTCACTGTACTGCTTTTCCCCTCCACCACATGCCACACACAGAGGTTGCCTGTGCTTCTTGTGGCGCACACGCTGCATTTTGGCCACCCCTGCAATAGCTGATGAAATGTTTTATCAGGTATGAGCCTGACAATCCCAAGAAGGCATGATTTGAGAAAGACAGAGAGGAAATCACAGCAAAACAATGAAAATGCTAATACTGTTAGAAGGGAGTGTGAAGAGCCATGGATATGCGAATACAGAAGAAAAGGTGGCAGGGTTTTTGGTTGTGGCTGTGTTGGTCAAAGGACATAGGCAGGAAACTTCTTTGGGTAGATGTAATATCTTTTATTAGATGAACTGAGTAACTGGAGAAAAGTTATTTTTTCCAACTACTCAGTTAGTCTAATAAAAGTTATCTAAAATAATAAAAGATAATAAAATTGGTCTAAGTTTATTAACAGTTAGTCTAATAAAAGATATAAAAAAAATAACTTTACCCCAACTACTCAGTTGGTCTAATAAAAAATATCACATCTACCCAAAAAATCTTGCCTGCCAAAGGAAAGGTGGGTAACGGTGCCAGAATGGCATGCCAGGCTTTAGCCCTGGGTGTCTACAGCAAAAACTCATCAAGAATGGATCAACTTCATGGTTAAGATAGACTTAGATGAGCTTTCGGGTAGCCTTCCTCATATTTCCTGGAAAAGCATGGCCACAACATCACTTGAACGCTACCAAAGGAAGTTGCATTGTTTTGGAAAAGGCAAGATAAATACATGTTAAGTTTCCAGCTATATCAGATTAGTTTCTTGAACTGAGAAGAAAATGATGTAGTGAGAAATCTAGGGGCGTAAAATGGAGTGAGAGAGAGGGTTTCTTTGCTAATGCAAAGTGAAGCTGTGCCGAAGCCAGCCAGTCTGAGCCTTCGTGGATCTCTGAGCTTAGACTTATTACAAGCATATGATCAATGCATACGATAATCTTACTGCACTGATGTGGTCATTATAAGTATTGCAAAGCTGTTATCTAACATGTTCGCATTCTGTTACAGTATTTCAGACCATTCATTTAAAGAAACTGTACAACTGCTATTGGCCTTTGCATTTAATAAAGGCATTTTAGCCAAATTCTGACATGGTCAATTGAATGCCAGTCATGACTGGGCTCAGTGGGCTGTTGGGACCTTTCCCTTTTTATTTAGTCTCAGTAGAAAAAGAACAAGAACCCTGAGCTTTTACCGACCAGCTACAGTATCTGTGGAGCAAACACTGATTCATGGAACAAGCCTATGAGATTAGATAGAAATATGGGGCCAAAAATATCCCTGTTGTAATTTAGCAAACTCAACAGAATTACACCAATGATTTTGCCTTAGTGTAATGGCACCCACATGACAAATGGGAATGCTGAAGCTAAGTGACTTGCCTGAAGCCACACAATCAGTTAGTGGCAGAGCTGGGTGTGAATGTATTCAGATGTTGACTCTTTTCCAGATCTACATGCCATACTCCAGCTCTGCTTCTTTTTTAAGGACTAAGATGTAGGTGATTTTAGATTTAGGGAACCAAGACTTCTGAATTTGTTTGAAATGGGTACAGTTGGTGAAATGTCAAGAATAAATGCAGTATGTTCCTGTTACTTGTGTACCCATTCATCCATCCAAACTGTACAAATAAGTGGACTACACTAATAAATGGAACAGAAAAAAATTGCAAAAAATACATTAAAAAGCAACAGAAACAGATAGCATAATTCCTGATCCTAATGTGGCACTGAACTGCAAGTCATTCCACACATTTTTCTGTCCATTTTTAAAGACTGGGTGCTGAATAAATGAAATACTATGGGAATTGCTGTTTATTTACATCTTAGGCCTACATGTGATGGTATACGTGTGTAATGAATAAGGAAACCTCACACAAAACTGATCAATTCTCCTTCTCTCAGACATACCGTTGAATGAACAGTCCTATATAGGCAATAGGGTGGTTAATGAAAGGAATCATGTGTAATATATCTCAAAAAAAGTAAAATACACTGTAAAACAACTAGATTACAAAAATATTTCATATCTTGAAACATTATGGTAAATCATCTGTTGCGAGAGGAAATCTTTTTTCGTACTGCTCTACTCAACCATTGCATTATTTGTCTTTGGCTTTCTTTTTCTAGTCCTGGCTTATGCAATAAACCAAAATATGCTAAAAAAAACCCATTATGTAAATAATCAGGTGATGTTTAACTGAAGAGATAGTAAATGTTTTTTGACCTACTGGAAAGTAGGCAAATAATCAATACGCAACAAAGCAGAATTTACTGTATGCACCAATTATTCTCAGCCAGGGTGCTGCAGCACCTTGGGGTGCCTGGAGAGTCTTTCATGAGTGCCACTCAATGTAGCACTGCAAGGCAGGCAAACATGATTCACAAGATAAACGCAGAGGCATCAAACAGGAAACCAAAGCTTCAAAACCATTCTGAGCTGCTATGGTCGTTTTGAGTTCACAGAAGACAGACAAAGTTCTTTGGGTAAATCCAATATCTTTTATTAGAACAACTCAAATAAAAGATATCGGATTTACCCAAAGAACCTTGTCTGCCTATGTCCTTAGACCAACACGGCTGCAACCTACACCCTTGTCACAGAAGAGTTGCTCTATTATTTTTCCATAGTCAAAAATGGGTGAAAGCTAAGAGCGTGCACTTTCTGAGGGGGACCTTGAGTCTAACAAGGTTGAGAACCACCGTTATGCACTAATGTGTATAAAGAGCACTGGTGTATTACCCTTACAAAACACAACTGGATAGTACCATCCAGGTAGGGTTGCCAACTCTGAATCTATTCCGGGAGGCTTCCCGAATGCCAACGTGCCTGTGACACACACGAGCGTGCCCACATGCTTGTGTATATCAGTTACAGATTAAGGTGCATGGACTTTAGGCCAGGAAGGCAAACGCACATGATTATTACATTTTCAAAACCCACTGGACTACTGTATAAATCAGATTCAACATTTAATATTTATTTCAATGAATGCCCTATCATTTATCTTCCGGTGACTCTCAGCCGTCTCCTGGAGATTTATATCTAATTCCTGGAGACTCCAGGGCAATCCTGGCGGGTTGGCACCCCAATATGCACCAAGCATTAAGGAGAATACCCTCAAATCTACACTAACTGCTGTTTTCCTATTCACAAAGCCCCACACGTGTCTTCCCACCCACTTGCCCTTTGCAGGTCGCAGCGCTCCAGGACTATCACTGACCGACCCACAAACCATACACGTCTTGGTCCGTGCCGTTAGCTTCTCTGCCCTTGTTTTCCTGAGATCCCCACCGTGCATGATTTTCAACGCCAGGCAGTGGGCAGAGGAGACAAAGCCGTCCTTCACCATTGAACCAAGAACTGACCTCTGTTCTCTGTGGTGGCAGGTGACAGAACAAGGAGCAACGGGCTCAAGATGCAGCAAGGGAGGTTTAGGTTGGATATTGGGAAAAACTCTCGCTAGGAGGGTGGTGAAGCACTGGGCCGGGTTACCTAGGGAGGTGGTGACATCTCCATCCTTGGAGGTTTTGAAGGCCTGGATTGACAAAGCCTTGCCTGGGAAGATGTAGTTGGGGCTGGTCCTGCTTGGAGCAGGGGGTTGGACTAGATGTGACCTCCTGAGGTCCCTGCCAAATGAACTTCCTACGCTTCGAGAGGCCGGGTCGGCTTGCTAGGCCCCAGGAGGTGGTGGGAAGGAAGAAGGGAGACCGCTAGATACAGGAACTGATTTCTTGGGGCAAATCAGCAGAAAAGAGGGACGGGAGTGAGGTCACAGGTCAGTCACGAGGCCTGGTTGATGCGTGCGGGACACGTGGGCCTTGCGCCCAGAACAATGGTTGCCCCCCGCCCTTACGGGGACGGCTCCTGGGTTTGCGTCAAGGGGGCTTGGGGGACAGGTAACGAGCAGGGTGAGGTGGCAGGTGAAGCACAAGGAAAGGGGACACGGGGGAGCCTGCGGGCGTGGACGACTCTGCCCGCAGGCGAGGGGGGATCCAATACTGGGGGGAGGGGCAGGGGGGTCTAGGAACGCCCTGGGCTGGGCGG